TCAAATACAACAAACAAATAAAAAGGCTATGATTTGATTTGAACACATCCCATTTTTTATAAGGAGCACACCCTTTATAATTAGAAAATGTTTGAGAAACCAAAATACCCTTATATTTCAACTAAACAATGATATCTTTGTTTTTTTTATTAGGGCTATATTCAGTTTATCAAAAAGTGGGATGTGGCTAAATCAGTCCCTCTCTTCCCCCCTCGGGCTATGTTTGGTTGCAATGCGAATTTATTTGCACTGATGTAAAATTATAGTAGTGTAAATCATTTTTGTGCAAATTATGATTTATTTTTATTTCAAATTTTATCTTATTTTGTTTGATTGGAATACAAATGAAATTAAACCAGAATTTGCATTCTTTTCATTTACACTCCTATGCATTTGTACTAGTGCAAATAAATTTGCACTGCAACTAAACACAGCCTAGAAAAACAAAAGAAAAAAAAACATTTATTACCTCTTAAGGCTTATTTTTATAGGTATTATTATGTCACCTATGGAATCTAATTGTTTATTGAATTTCTATTAAATGATTGAACCAACATGGCATTTTTGCTAAAAAAAAAAGATACCAACCTGTAGATGGGCCATTCCATCTTTCCCACTGATTAGAGAGGAGCTAATTAACTAGACTAAAGTAATCGAGAAAACAACCCTAGGTCACATGGATCATAATAATCCAGGAAAAACAAAAGATGATTTTCAGCATAGAAAAAGTCCACCTATATATATTCTTAGATAGGAGTTGCTCATTGTAGACTGCCATCTGCGCTATCCAATACCGATAGAGCTGTTCTCATTTTCAAGTTAAGCTGTGTTTGGTTATGAAGAAACAAGATTCAAAGTATTGATACTCTCGATATATATATATATATATATATATATATATATTTTTTTTTGGATGTTTAGAGTTTTATTGGATGGATGCTCTCTAGGGGTGTATAAATCTAGCTTCACTCAAGTCAAGTAGATGGTCGAGCAAAATTCGAGCTTTACAATACCCCACTTGAATGCTTCACGAGCCTAATGGAGTTCATAATAAAATACTATTTTTTAATATATTTAGATTTATACTGTAAATAAACATAAGTTTTATAACATTAACTTATTTATAATTTAAATAAATACATTAATACTTGATTTTCATAATATATTTTTATGCATAATATTTATAATATTAATTTATTTATAACTTTTAATACTAATTTATTATAACCGGCTTGAATTGAGTCGAGCTCGAATAACTCAAGAGTACTGACTTTAGCCGAGTTTAAGCTAAATACATAAAACTTGGTCGAGCTCGAGTCAAATTTCAAGCTCTCTATTTTTGAGTCAAGTTAGAGCTGGAACAACCTGATACTTGCCTCGACTCAACTCAATTACAACCCTAATGCTCTCATTTGTTTTTAATTTTTTTGATACAGCCATTTGTCAGTGGGTGTGTTTTATGATATGTTAACATAAAACACATTGGAGATCCAGTGACAATTGACTAGAGGATCTTCAATCTGTTGAGAAGAGAGGAGCAAAAATAACATTGGAAGAAGAAGAAGAATAAGGGATAATAGAATCATTGGAGAGACTGGAGAGTTCCTGCCGGAATGCTGGAGTTCTTGCTGTCGTTCCACAGTCATGGACACTGGTGTGTGGTGAGTGGCCGGCGAGATGCTTGGATTAGGGCTCGAAGGGGAGGATGACAAGAAATGGAGAGAGTTCAAATGACATTGAAATTTTGAAAGAAAACTTTTGGTTTTTCGTCCTTTTTGTGTCCGATTCAACCAAACACCTTAAGATAACGGGTAAAAGTCCGTTAATGTTATATTTTACTCGCATAAGCGAACCTCTAATTGGTGAGTTCACGCGTCCAATAGAACGCGGACTCGCCGAAAGGTCCGCTTTACGCCGCACGCTACGACTCTATTCTCTACCTCGCAATACTTTATTCTCTCTCTCACTCTTATAGTCATGTGGATTCAGGATTTTATAAAGTTATATTGTTATTATTTGGATTGGTAAAACATTACATTTATAGACACCCAACCCATATGACAAAATATTTTCAGTCTCTTAACAGGCTTTTCTGTTTTTAATTCATTATTATTCCTTGCAGTGGTTTCATGGCTCAAACGTCTTCCCATGATTTAAAAATAAGTGTTCCCTAAGAAAGGACGAGGTCGGTTATTAGATTTTTCATGATTTTCTAGTACAGAGCACATGATGCATGTGTGAAGGAGAGAGACAGAGTGTTGAAATTTCTATACCAAGAAACGTTTCACTTTGATGCCACAGTAAGATAAAGTATTGGAAGTTTGGAACAATCAATACAGATAAGAGCTCCTGTGAAAGACATTGAACCTCAACTTATCAAAAACCTGTACTGAGTCTGAGTCTGAGTCTGAGTCTGAGTCTGAGTCTGAATCCTATCCGCATTTCCCATTTAACAAAAAAATAAAAGAAAAAAACTTTCACGGATCTAAGCATACAATGTCATCCATATCTGTTTTCTTGAATCGCAATTGTAACTCCTCAATGTTCCTGTATCAGAAACATTGTAAGTAGAGATGTCAGTGGGTCGGGTTAGGTAGTAAACCCGCATTGACCCAAACCAAATCGGGTTTCTGATTGGATTCAGGTTGGGGGTGAACCAACACTGAATCCGAACTGGTTGAAATTGCAACTTGGAAATATTAATTTACGTAATGCCAAACCCGGCCCATTTATATTGTTAGGTGCAATGGTAAAATCTCGGCATCTACAACTACAAACCAGTCTCTCAGTTTAGTACGGCAGGGATCTGAATGGCACTTATTTCTATTATGGCTTGGTGCAAGCTGAAAGAACAACAAAGGCTAGGGACAGATCAAGAAGGTTATCAATAGATAAACAGAATAAAATGATGAAACGAGATTCATGTAGCTAATCCCATATAGTTGAGATAAAAGTTTGGATGATGAATTTAATAATGAATATAGCACTAAGAGAATGAGGAATAACGAACCCGGATTCATCTAGCAGACCAAATTCAATTGGGATAAGGCTTAGATGATGACGACTTATTACAATTATAGTTTGTAACCTATCATATCTCTCATGTTCAGTCTGTTAAAACCAGATTGACTTACCCGCATGAAGTCTTGACACTTTTTGGGGTAGAAAAGAATATCAGTTCTTTAAAGAAAAGAAGAGAAAACAGTCAAATGCAAAAGAAAGACTCTAAGCCTGTATTTGGTTGCAATGCAAAAAAAAAATGCAATGATGCAAAATTGGCAGTGCAAATGATTTGAGTTCAACTTCTGACCTAATTTTGTTTTAAATTTTAGCTTATTTTGTTTGATTGCAATACAAATGAAGTAAATTAAGACAAAAGCAGTATAAATTAAAACCCAAAACAAAAATAAACAAGAATTTGCATTTTTTTTATTTGCACTCTCATTCATTTGTACTAGTGCAAATAAAATTGCACTGCAACCAAACACAACCTAACGACACTGGACCTGAGACACCACTACTCAACATTAGTAGCAGACACCCTACTATTACCAATAGCTACTAATGCTCAAAATTGATAAACAAACAAAACCAGCATTCAGATCATTAACCAGCCATTCTGGTGGGTAGGACCAATCCAACGAGTTACTAGAGAGACCATTGATATTGTTGAGACCTCTAGATTTAACCATCAACTTTATGCTTCTGCTTGCTTGGAAAGCCAAACTCACCATGCCATATCCACATTTTGCAGCCACAAAAAGACCATTTGCATCTCTAACACAACCAGACCAAAAGACGAAGCCGCTTCCTTGCGATACCTCCATCTATGTTAACACTGTCAGGAATCAGCTAAATGGACAAGTATACAAGTGAATTGCCGTATCCATTTCAACGTCTCGGAGAAACCCAGTCAATGTTGGAGGAATTTGTTACCTAAAGTAACTTCCTTACACTGCGTTTGTTTGCCATGCCATGAAAAACAAATGCATGAAAGTACAGCAGGCTCTCCATACAAATTGAATAATTCTTGTCTCAAGATCTACATTCATTTAGTTTGTTTTGATGGGTAAAGTGCATCACAAAGACTTTGCATCAGTTTTGGGGATACAAAATTTCTACTGCCAGTGAGTGCAGAAGAGATGTTGCAATTTTATATTAGGTAAGGGTGTTGGCCGTTGGGTGCAAATTATAATTGCAAACAAATGAACCCTGATGCAATTTTTGCATCTGGTTTGAATTCGGCCTACAAACAAATGTCACATATCAGGAAGCGACCGTAAATACACTACCAAAAAATAAATAAAACAATCCTACACTAAAAATAGTGGTCAATTTGGGAAAATGCAATTAGTTTATTAAGTTCAGTTTGGGAAGAGTGCAAATACAAATATGTAAAATGAAAAACCTGTAGATGGTATTTCTAAGCCTTGTATTTGCACTGTACATATTTGTATCTGCACTCTTCGACCATGTCATGGATTCCCCACTGGAGCTTGTCACAGCTTCTTGATCTGTTTTCATTGCTCACCATCGTTTAGCTGTATGATGAATTCATTAAGACATTGTCCATTGGCTCAAGATAATCCAGCACTTGCATTTCAAACAAGCAGCCCAACTTTTGGCAGTTGTTTTAACAGTCAACGTAAAACAAATTGCAAGAGAAGCAGATGCTGCTACTTGATTATGAATCTGTTTAGGATTTAATGATATATGATGTTTGTGTTGCAGGACCTATAACCTGTGTGTTGGCTGAGCAATAGGTAGCATTTTTCTGATCTTACGCTAGACAGCAAAGACATGGAATTGGAAATAGACTGAAACTCTCGTCCTCTAAAAAAGAAAAGGAAAAAAATGAAAGAACAGACAACTGTCAATGTAGTCAGTATGTCAACAGGATACTGAAATCGAACTGTCAGCATTCAGAAAGTCTTCTTGAAAGGGGGTTCCATGCATACATGCTAGCTAACTATAAATCAAATGCTATCAGCAGAACAGAGGACCAGTGAATGAAAAATTACATTATATTCATGGTATAGACAATCAATAGAGTAAGACTGTATATACAATAATAAGCCTTTCCAGAAGGGTTTATGTCAACACAAACCCATCACAGAGTTTAAAATGGATGGTTATGTACACTCCAAATAAAAGGAAAGAAAAGAAAATAAAGAAAAACAAAATAGGTTGGCAGAAGAGGGACAAGATACCTGCTTTAAATTTTACATGCACCTTTCCCTTCAAAAAATCCAACTTCAAGATACCGTTCTCCCATAACAAATAGATGCAATATATAGATTTTTTGACCATTTATCCTGCAGCATTTCCAGAGTAGAGAAATATGTAATCAATTCCTTGAAATCACAAAAAGCTACCAGAGTTGTTCTACAACACTGCCCAAAGCTATCTTTGCAAACAGTCAGAATAGTGATATGTGAAAGTAGCACCCTTCAAAAAAGCAAGAAAAACCAGAGTGTTCTCAATTTGCAATAGACATTTTCTTCAGATTTGGAAAACCATTGTTGTCAGTGTCAGGGATTTCCACAAAACATCCAATGTAGTGGGTTTCAAGTTTGACAATGTTAACTTTCCAATGAAATCCAACATACTTTGATACTTGAAACAAAGTCATGACTGAGAAATCCTACCTTAACATGATTACTAGGAAAAGCAGATGTGCGCAATGTTTCTTGTGTCACATCTGGTGATTTCCTCTTGGGTGTACTGAGTATGAATGCAGCTTGATCAGTAGTTGCAGCAGCTGATGTAATCCTGTATCCGCTCTCCCATCGTCTATGGATTCCCTCACTTGGATAGAGGAAATCGAGTTCAACAACCTAAGGGAGGAGGTCAAACTACTAACTTTAAGAAACTGTGGCATGCAAATAACAAAGAAGCCTTCATTTCACTTCTTAAATAATGTAACAGTCTTCAACATAGGTTACCTGATTTGAGAAACCTGCATTTCGGGACATAACAATACCCCATTTACTACCTGCAGTCGCCATGCAAGTAACAAAGAAGCCCTCATTCCATTTCTTATTGATCCATTTGAAAGGAAATACATCACTAACTTTGTACGATTGTTGAGTGTATGGTGTCCCTTTGGTAGAAATTAAGGAAAGAAACATATCAGTTGCATCAAAATCAATTAAGTAACCATAAAATTGTTTCTTTCAACATTTAATCATCTGAAATAATTTAGGTTACTCTTTCTGTAGTGATGTTAATAAATATGCTAAAAACACATTAGAGGGAGATAACCATATTTAAGTAAAATTCCAAATGTATAAAATCGTTGTGTTGCATTCCATTTTTCTCTAAATTGGTGGCTTCATTGCCTGAATATCCTCTCAAAAATGAAAAAAAAAAAAAAAACGTTTACAAATTGACATAAGCTCATAAAATGCAACCAACTGGGGCAAATGATACAAACTAAAATAATTTGAAGTCATCTGCATTGTGTAAAACAAACATAATACTCTAAACAGGAATCTCACAACTAAATTGATACATATTTTCCAGGTCATTCAAGAGTACTCTTTTTTTTCTCCCCACAGAACAAGTCTTTACCTTTTTCTCCCTAGAGAATGAATTTTCAGATTGAAGTTCAATTTAATTGTCAAATAAGCAAGTTAATCCTTTGCTCCTACATGGAAGGGGTTTAGATCAAGGAGATGGACATCCAATGATGTGAACAATTCTTAAGAAGTTCAAGACTATGATTTGTTGACCCGCAGAAAACAACTAATGTTTTCACTGGTCAAAGACAGTGCATTTCAAGTTAGAATGAATGAAAAATCAACCATCAAACTAAAAAAAAAAAAAAATGATTAATCAATCATCAAATTCCTCTCTTTCCCTGTTGCTTGCAATGTCTCTTTCCCATACACTTCGGATGGATTAGTGCAATGTTGTTCTCCCTACTCTTGCTTCTTTTTTCTGATCTGAAGCCTAGCCCATTGATAAAGATTTGATGAGAAAGGCAACCTATTCCATGCATGAATGTTGAACTGGTAGAATCAGTTGATCGCATGCAACGTATGTGTAGGTTTAAGGTGAGTTATAAGGAGTGTAAGCTCAAAAGTCAAAAGTGTATAAAATTTCAGAAAATCTAATAAACTATATTTTTAATTTTGATTAAAAAAACATATATGATGTTCAACCATGACCCATATAAATACAAACATATATGACAACTCTGTCAATGTGTGCTTGTATTACATTGCCAGTCCCAAGCCCAGATAAAAAGAAGGGTTGCGTCAGGGCGGCAGCTGGCATTAAAAATTTTGCCAACTATCATTGTCATGGATAATCGACCCCATATCATTTGAATAAGGCTTAGTGACATATAAGCCATAAGCCATGACATTTTACCATCAATTTCTATCAAAAGATGGAAGTTACAAATTTCAATTCCAATAAGCAAACTAGTCGTGAAAAAACTACATTTGCACTCTGGTGGATGCACACTCGAATGACGGTGGCATTTCTTCATTTGAATTAATAAAATCTTCAATGACCAGAGTCCATTTGGGAGGGCAGGTGAGAGAGAGCATCACGCTCTGTCTTCTCCAATAACCAATAATTTAGAAATTAAGAAACATGAAACAGAAAATACTGCCAAGTTTATTTTCAGCATAGAAAACTCAATCATTGGAACAAATATGTGAATTTAACGACAAGCATCAACAGAGATTAATTTCACAGCACTATTTAGTGAATTGCCCTCTGCACATCACATATTTAAGGTTCAACATGCCATTTCTCTATCTGTTTAATCAAGAATTTGGAGTTCTCAAGAGGATTTAACAGAGAAACTATAGCTGCATAGATCTCTGAGAAACTCTGAAGATAAAGAACAAAGCAACGAACAATGACCATAGATGAACTCAGTCTTTTACTTTTACTTTTTACCCCTATATTCTTATCAATAAAATTTGAATTATTTTCCATTGAATATCTTAATCGCGATATCCATTTAAAATAATTAAACCCTTCTCATCTTCAGCACCAATAAATTTAATCTGATGTAGGACTAAAATTCAGGCCTGATAAAGCCTAAAGGTGCCTGTAAAATCAGTCCTGGCAATCTGGGAACTCCCAATTTTTGCCACTTGAAAAACTTACATGAAATGAAAAAAAAATTATAGGCGCTTAGAAATCAGAAATGCAAATGCAAAGACTCACCCTTGGACATTACCACCACGGCACTGCCATTAGTTGCTCCAGCCACTGAACTGATATAGTAATTCTTATCCCACTGTTCCATAATCCAGTCCTGACCAAGATGCCAAGAAGAAAATTATTTTCTGAGAACCAGAGATACCAGAAAAGTTAACAAAATGATATCTCAAAAGATACATGTCATAAGCTCCTGCAATACTTACCTTGTGCAGGAAAATGGGAGAAAGGTCATAAACCTGAGACGTGAATCCTGTCCCTGCATCCATAATGATAGCCCACAGGTTTGCTGAAGATGCTATACAGCTAACATACAAGCCATCTTCCTTCCCCTTCTCCACATGCTGGCAAAGTCTCGAGTCCATCACATTATAGTGATACCTGTGGTGCCAAAGCACATATCACTTCCAGCAAAGGGAACTTAAGAATTTTGAAAAAAAAAAAAAGGGATCGTGTCCTAGTTCCTGGATTTTCTTTTCACTATTTTGATTTCAGTATAAGCATAAGAAATATATTGATATCTCAGAACCTGCTCCATAAGTTCAGAGAGAAGGAAAAAGGTATAAAATATAATTCAGGGTTCTCAAATTTCGCATCCTTATTTCCCATGTGAAATGTGGAGGTCCTTGTGTTGCAACCCATTCACTTTTTGGGCTAAGGCACATTGCTCAATTGGTTGATTAGACATTCCAAAACAAAAGTTCTCTAAGGTGTAAGAGAAAACCTCCCAATAAAACTGCAAGAAAAATCAAACATAATAGGAAATTTACTTGAGTCAGGGGCACCAAACTAAATATGTAATGTGTCTTCCTGTGGGTCAACAAGTCCATGGAAAAAGGGGATTCCATGGTGGAAATACCAGAAGTAACAACTACCATAAATAGAAAGAAAAAAGAAAAAAAAGTCTTTGGTACTTTCCAGTAATGGAAAATGTAACATGATGACCATATCAATCAATCATAAAGGATGTCATTTAATATAGTTCAAAAAAAGTACACTGAAATATGCAGTCTTGTTTTAATTTGTATTCAAAATTCACTAGAAGTGCATTCCAGGCATATTTTATAATAAATTGAAAAGAAAATGAAATTGATAATTAAACAGTTTATTCACACCCATCATTGCGATTTGAGATTAAGCATTGTTGATCAAAATTTTGAATTACCTCTGCTTCATTGGAGATCTGGAATTATAGACTGAGATCCACTGAGTAGCAGGAGTACCCAGCCGGACTTTCTTTTTAGGTTCACCACTGTCTTCCAAATCAACCAGTATCCTTCCTCTTTTCTGTCCCACCTATAGTGATGCATGAAAGAATTAGAACATTCACTCCCTTTAAACAGTGAACAATTCAACTTTGACCAGAAAAAAGCAACCTTGAGTACACCATCAGTTTTGATGGGCCGCAGAGATGCATCGGTTGCAATCATGTGTTCAAAAAGGGAAATAAGCTTTGAGTAGTTTGGTTCTTCGTCAAAACTCATATTGGTGACTGTTTCAAGAAATTGTTGGAATGGGAGTGGGCAGAAGCTACAAAGCATCTTAGGAGAAGTTGTCATCTTCTTCTTACAAACAAGAAAGCTTTTGTTATCTCCCTGCATGTTGATAGACCATTCAAACAATATATTAAAGAAAAAAAATAGATTATTAAGTTACAAAAGACAATACAGTTAAAGGATAAAATAACTTACAAGAAACCCTTGCCAGGGAAGCTTTCCTCTGAGGAGGAATATCAGGGTGTATGCCAATGACTCAAGGTCATCCCTTCTGCTCCCTGTCCTACCCAAATGAGCATGCACACTTGCATAACGTACTGTGCCCCTGAGAATGAAGTAGAACAGAATACTCGTTAGATATAGATGGAAGCATCAGATCACGAACTTCAATAACCAATATATAAAGTTACCAACCTGAAAACATCAGGCCTTTGGTCATAATCAACATGGCGACCAGATGATGCATCCTTCCATCTAGATGCTGAAATAGGCGTAATTACAATCCAATTGGAACACTTTGTACAGCTTGCTTTGTAGAAAAAATAACATAAGGAAATTCAGGTTATTGGAACTTATAATGTAGATTCTATAGGAATTTATACCCAAACCAAGGTCTACTAAATAGAGCTTCCTTTCATCAGGGGTGCCAGGCTGACCAAGAAGAAAATTCTCTGGCTTCACATCTCCATGAACGAAACTGGGGAAAACCCAAGAAACTATAATTGCATACACAGAAGAAAATGGCATGTCCATCTTATCAAGAACAGTAAATAACAGAAACTAATAGGAATTACCCCCTTCCGTGAAGCTTCTGCAGTATTGATATTGCCTCCACTGCTATACAGGCAACCATCTCTTCAGACAACCTGTAAAGAGACAAGGATGCTCAAATAACATAAAAGAAAATTAAAAGCATAAGAATTAAGAGAAGGAACTACGTTGTCATACATCTGATTATTAGAGTTCCAAACATCCCATAAACTTGGACCAAGCATGTCCATGACCTAGAAGTAAATCCCACAACAAAAATCACATATGAGATATCAATAAAATGCATGAGAAAAAATAAGATGGAATTTCTTTTTCAACAGTAATAACGAACAGGCAATAAAAAACCCTTCATAACACATAATCAGTTTGGCAAATGTAGAGGTTCAACTCACAAGAATGTAGTAGTCTCCTTGGCAGCCCTTGTAATGGACTAAGGGAAGCCCATAACAACCATTAAGCATGCTTCATGAAGAGGGAAATTAAAAGATATAGAAAATTAGAAGCATCAGTTAGGCAGAAACATATCAAAAGACTGGCATTTTTCAAAATAAATAAATAATAGCAAACATAACACACTGGCTTACCTGTAAACTTGCCACTCATAAGGAGGACCATGATTGCATCCTTTACTATTTCGATGCTCAAACTTCAAGGCCACCTACACAGTAAAATAAGTCTTAACTAATTTTTACATTTTTAGAGCTACCTGCTTTGGAAAGGGAAAAACAAACAAATATAAAATAAAAGAGAGAAGAAAAGTCTACAGTACCTCAAAGGCATCAGGTCCCGTATGCCCTGTGCCACCAGTCATCCTTCTTCCAAGATAAACTTGTCCAAAACCCCCCTTACCCAATTTTTTTTCTATCTTGTAAACAGGGGAGTTACCTAGTTGTACCTGTAAAGTAGAGAAAGGCTCATTGTTTGCAGAAAATGATACAGAAAACAACAAATTGTCTAGTGGGAAATTACTTTTATTTTGTTTTGTTGTAGTTCCAATATTAACAACCCTATGAATGCACTGTACTATTGGCAAATAAGAATGAGGTATGGCAACAGAATATTCCAAGGGGCACAAAAATCAACAGAACAAATCATTGATTGTGTAGCCATTAAAGTCATACATTGGCTGAAAATAAGTGATTTATTTAAAGACTTTTCAGTGGATGATATACAAAAGGGCTGGTCAGCAGCAGCAAACTCTTCAACCAGGCAATCTGTCATTCAGCCCTCTTGGACACCACCAGCACAGCAAAGGGTAAAATTGAATTTGGATGGAAGCTCCATGGGTAATCCAGGATCCTCGGGAGCTGGGGGTGTTTTTAGGGATGGGGAGGGCCGAATGGTGGCACTATACTCTGGTCCCATAGGAGTGGTAGACTCTTTGAGAGCTGAAATTTTGGCTCTCCTACAAGGCCTGAGATTTGCCAAGCAATGGGAGTTTCAGAACTTGGAGGTGGAAGGAGACTCTAAATTGTTAATAGGGTGGCTGCAAACAAAGAAGTTGGGTGTATGGAAGTTTAGACAGCAAATAAGGGAAATAATATGCTTGGCAAGGGAAGTTGGAGTTACATTCAAATGGGTAAGGAGATCGGAAAACTCTGTGGCAGATAGCTTGGCAAAACAGGGGACCTTCGGGGAAAACTTATTTTGGGCTGTACTGTAATTCTTGATGTTATTTTGGGGTCAACACTCTTTGTCTGAGTGGTTGACAGTGTAAGATGTTTATTTAATATTCTTAATGAAAGTTACCGTTTTCAATCAAAAAAAAAATAGATACACGAATATCCAGTAGCCACATGGTTTTACTTTCCCTTAATCAAGTACTGAACCATTTCCTGTATTGTAATATTTTCTAAGATTTATTAAATTAACTTAATGGCTGTGGTTTTTATTGAATGTCCATGGCCTGTGTCTAACCCACTAAGCAAACCAAAAAACAGGATCTGTCTAGTGTGCAAAATTTACAGGTGGAGCAACATAAAACAGTGGTGGCTCAGCATGTTGGACAGGAAGGGGAAAAAGTGTACAAAGAGTAATTAGGAAAGGTGATTCCAAAAAAAATGCAAACAACAGCACAGGAAGCTGCAGAGATACATACCCTCTCAGGAAGAGGACTTGAGTTGCCTTCCTCCTCAACAGCAACTAACTTTTCCATGCTCTTCTCTGCCACCACCTCATTGTGAACTGCTACCACCTCTCTCATTGCTACATCCAAGCCAGTTGCAATCTGCTCCTCTATCGGCCTACCCAAAGGCTGAGAAGGCTTCTCTGGCTTTGCCCCTTTGGCTCCCCGGCCTCTACCCACTGCTCTTGCCCTTGGAGAAGCAATGGCTTGCTTAACTGGCTCGACCAGAGGTTGCTTTAGTATGGGAGCATTTGAGCCATTTCCCCTTCCAGTACCACGCCGGGTTGCTCTCACTGGATTTACAGCAGGAGTTGTTTCGAGATCATTGACCTGCTTGGATCTCAACTGGGCCTGGCGAGCTCCACTTCGTAAATCTGGCATTTTTCTCCCATGCAAAGATTACCACCTTGTTCTAAGTTTATACTCCAATCTCAAATGATATTGATTGATTCAATCCTAAGTATCAAAAACAATGAACAAATCAAGAAAAGAGAACATCCAGTGGTTGTTCAGTGAAAATCTCAGTAAAACATTTCCAGGTTCAAGATGCCACAGAGGCTGATATGGAAAAAAAACAATTTTAAACACTTGAAAAGAAAAACCACCTCTCAAGCTTCAGGATTGGAAAGATCAAAGTGCACATCACTTCAAATACGCACCAACTATTTCATCACCCGAAGTAAAGACCACATAATCCAGTTTAAAAACCAATGTCAAAAGCATTTCCAGATTCAACATACAAGAATCTTGCAGATTCAATAACTTTTAAATAGGTTTATCATCTTCCAACAGAAAGAACCCATTTTGAACCTATGGAGTTAAAGAGGTTGATCTATGGAAAATGATATGTAGAGGCCATACTTCTATAGGGGCAATCTCTTCTATATCTGTAGACACAAAATTATCATAGACAGACACAATTGCACGACAAATCAAATACTAGAGGAAACATTAATCTAGCACACAAGTGTACTCTGGAGAAAATCAACATATCAGATAAAGTTCAAATAGTTCTATGCAAAACAAAGACCAGACTAGAATCACGAATGTTTACATGGTTGGGTTAAGAAAAACTTGTTTATTAGAAACCAACTTCAATCAGAAGATGTTGAATGGACTGATTCCAATTCAAACAAATTTCAATCAAAAGGTGTTACATAGACTAATTCCAACTCACATCTAACCACAAACCCAACATCAAATTATCAATACAAAAGTCCCCTTCATCATCAAAATTTCAGACCCAAATCAATTTTAGTGCGCACTAAACATCTGATCATCCATGAAGCCGAAGCCATTGATTAATACAAAAACCAGGAAAGGAAAGGAAAACGATCACAAATCAGTCCGTCAAATATTAATATTTCAACACAAAAAGGCTCAGAAGTATTACCAGATAACTCAAATTTGTCTATCATAGAATCCTTTACGAAAACTAAGAACACCCACGTCAATCGAAACCCAGTCTATCATCTAAACAACCAAGATCCATCTGATCAAATACTCAACATATCAATCAAAGCTCAAAGCTCATGTACATATTCATAGAAACCAAATGTACCATCAAAGAAAATAAAACGAAAAATAATAAAAAATAAACATGGGTAAATTTGTTTAAGCTATACGTGTTTCGATATCATCCAATAGAAGAAAATACTTACAGACATAATAACAAAGTTAAAATGTATACATACCCAGATACCCTTTGAGGAGATAAATAAAAAAAAAAAAAGGTATCTTTATCCAAAGAAGATGAAACTAGGAACCGCATAGAAGAGAATGATGGTCGCTGAACGCTGTGATGCTGTGAGTGCAAGGCATGGGCTGGCAAAAAGGTTGCGCACCTTCTCACCTTCCCTCCATGCGTACGATAGTAAACCTTCCGTCCATGCGTACGATAGTAAAGTGCGAGTGCCACCGCCTCCTTAATTCTTCCTACTAAATACTAATCTTAGAAAAAATCATAAAAAAAAAAACTTCCCTTGTTGCGTGCATGACTTGTGGCATATGACTGTATCTCGTATTGTCGTAGACGTCAATGGTGGACACTCGTCCAAATCCGTTAGATCGGTATCTTTTATCTCCATTATGTACCAGCCTTCATGATGAATCGGCAAAGTAAAAGATTCCAATCGGATAGTCAGGTGATAACCTGCTCTGTTGATGCAGCATTCCACAACGTCGCTTTCGCGAAGGAAGTCACTCCACGTGCGACATCCGTACATTGCAATATGTATGAGTGCTGCTAGGGCTACGTGACCTAAGTAAAATAAGCCTCGTCACCGTGTTACGAGTTACGGAGTATGGTTATTGGTTAGATGGAATATATATTGCGTGCTTCTCGTGGCCGACGACGATCCGAAGGGTCTCACGATGCCACGGCCCGCAACGTGAGCATTTATCACGTGTGATTGCCTTAAACTGTTCTTTACGTGACGGAGGGTGGAGGATGGAATTACAAATTTGCAAGAATAAATAAACAAATAAATAAAATAGGGTGGAAGGAGAAATGATGGGTGAACTCTGTTTGTGCTAAAATCTATGTTGCATGTATCAAAATGTCATACGTTTAAGATGCAAGGAATCAATTCATTTTGTTTATGAATTACAGTATTAGTCATTTTTATTTCAATAATAATATATAATATTTTGGTCATTTTTAGTTTAGTTTAGTTTATTATATTATTCAATTCAATTTAAAAACAAATAAATCAAATTCAGATCTACCTATGTCTAATTACATTGAATTTGGGGTGGTATTTTGAAAAATGATTTAGAAATGGACCATTTTTTTTCCATGAGATAGAGAGATTCAATCGTCTAGGTCAAATGAGTTAAGTCACGAGATCATAAATCAAGTAATGAATATGTAAGATAAAAGATAAAGAAAATTACAAAAAAAATAAATGCAAAGAAGGGCATGCCAAATGTATACATCCATATCAAATTGAAGTGTGATAAATGAGAATTCGATAGAAGTAGCTAAAAATACAAATAAAATAGAAAAAATAATATTGGACCTATAACCCATTGATTGAGTCAAACAATTTAGTGGTTCAGATGAAGGTCATCAAGTCATTGACCAAGTCAAGGTTTCTTTGCAAATAAATAGCTCAAGAGTAAAACAAACCCATAAAATCAAGCATCAAGCATCATGAGAGTGTTTGCAAAGTCTATGCTCGTACACCGGTTCAGTAAGCGGTCTTTAGAATCAATGCCATTTCCTGAGAGGCATTTTTTCAAAAAATCATGACAAATTAAATTTCTAATATGTGATGCCGTTTTATAAGAAAACAACATTGATGCCAAACACCTAAATATTTGGTGATAACTTGAACTCTATAAGGCCCGTTTTGAATAATACAGTACTACTACACTTATACCCCCGAATTGGTTTCAATCAATGCAAAACCCGTTCCAACAGACTTTACAGCCATGCATTGGGAACGTCCACATACTTCTGTATCCCCCCACCTCCACCAAAATTTGATTGGTAGCAACTAGCAAGATTCAAATTCCCGTATTTGCAGGAAAGAACCATCTACCTAACACACCAACAGAGCCACCCCTATGCTTTGTGGCTGAAGGCTGAAGCTCACCACCTTCGTTTCACCTTCCTTTGTTTACTCTTCTGCCCATGATAGCAACCCTTTTTTCTGTTTTCATTCCCCAACATTAATTGGTCTCCTTGGCCAATAATACCGCGAACGATCAACTCCAGCTCTTTCCCTTTACTGTGGGAACCATCCGATCGTCATCCCCCATCTTCTTGGTACAACACGTGGCAGCTTAGGATTGCATCTCATTGCAGGTACAACGAGGGCACATTTATTGTACCATGCTATAATCCGGTGGCTGCAGGTCGGGTTTTATCCAACCCTAAGTTTTAAATCCCAACCCTAACCCAATTTGACCTTCATCCCGACCAATCCAATCCTAATCCTAACCCTAACTAAATTCCTTCAACCCTAACCTAACCCAACCCAACCCGAAGTCAATTTCGAGTTGGGTTGGGCTCGGGTTGGACCCAACCCAACCTTCTTCCCATCCTTTAAAATCTCATAGAATTTTTCAATTTTACATCTTAACTCAACTTTCACTATATATATTAATCCTATGTTTCATTAGTATTTGTTTGTTGACGTTATTTTATTTTTTTGTTCTTTTAGTACAAAATTCAGAAAAACAAGTATTATAAATGACTATAGTTTATTATGAGTTATGACTTACGATAGATCATTCTTGGGCAGCAAACAACATAAAGGAGATGAAGAATAAAATTTTCAAAAAAACATAAAATAATGTTATTAAGGTTTTAATCTTTATGATTAGGATTAAGTGAAGTGGTTATCTTAAAAGAAATACATGATACCATGTAGTGGGGGCTATACAAATATCATCCATCTAAACAAACCAATGTATGTTATATATTACATATAACATATATTTATATATGACATATACTATAGAGTCGAGTTCAGGTTGGGTCAGGTTAAGGGGTCAACCCAAAGTAAAGTCAGGTTCATGAATTTCAATACTAATCGTAACTAGAACATCGACTCGACCCAACCCAACTTTTTCGGGTTGGTTTTGGGCCAACCCGGCCCAAGTTGCAGCCTTACTTTATAGGTTTCCCTTTGATTTTGTTGTCCACAGGCGCCTTTGACTAAAATAACAAATAAACCATGACTTAATTTTTATATATAAAAAAGTAGACAATAAATATGTTGGACTTAAAACTTCCTCCTTCCACTGCCTCTCGTTTTTATACTAAGGATTAAAATGTTGATATGTGAGTATGGGTGCGTATCCTTTTGGCTGATATGTTGTATTTTTTATTTTTCTTTTACTTTTTTTATTTTATAGGTATTAAAGGATCTCATTCATCATCTTAAAGTTTTAATTGTTTTAAAAAAATTGTGTAAGTGTATTTAAATATATTTGAGTATATCATACAAATCATGGTTTTCCAAATCGGACCGGACTGAACGGTTGGACTGGAAAATCGGGAACTTGTCAGGTGACTAGTTCCATTTTACCCCAGAACTGTTATTTCCCCAAAACATTGATTTGGTCAGAAAACCATTGACTCGGGCATTCGAATTGTTCAACGGTTTGGCTGGTTTTATTTTTTTATTTTTTTGTCAAAATGAGCCATCCGTTCGGTTTGAACAACCGGACCGTTCAACCCAAGAACTGGACCCCTGATTGGTTCATTGACCAGATCGGTTTTAAAAACCTTAATACAAATACAATATATCCTATAATATCGGTATTTTAATCAATTAATCCTTAATAATACTAAGGGTTAAAACTTGGTTTATTTTTTATATTAGTTATATATGAATGGAATGACTAAACATTTATAGTTTATACAAAAAAAGTCCTATGATGTATATTGTTTAGTGATATTATAATACTTGATTGATAATGAATTAAGTGGCTGGATGGGAGGCCCATTTCCACTTTAGTGAATAAAATAATAGGGTTTTTATAATTCAGTCCGCCCTTAGGTGGAGCTAGGATTTCCTAGGGGTGGACTGAATCCTGCCCGTGGATTGATGTCAAATTCACGGGCAGGATGTGGTTTATAGGGGTGGGGGGCTGAAAAAAAAAATTCAAGGGGGATTGCAGTCCAAAAATCCTTAAAATAATTAACTAATAAAATATTCGTAGGTATAGTAATTTATCCAACTTTTCAACTTTAGCCATTAATGAGCCATTTTTAAGAAAAAGGAGCTATAAAAATAGCATCAATCGGTCAATTTATTTGTCCGTGGAGAAGACTTTCATGAAGACAATAGGTCATTTAGGCTCCATTTGTTTGTAATACAAACGTTGAATTGGGGTATTGTGTTTGTGAGCGTTTGCTTGACATGTAAAAAATGTATTTTTCTGACATTTTTGTATTCTGAAAAGAGAGGGGAAATCTATGATGTTGAAAAGATATGGCATGCAGTATGGAAAGAGTTTTGACCAATTAAAACCCACCCATAGGGGTGTCAATTGGACTGGATTTGGTCCATTCTGATCCAGTCCAATGTGAGTCCATTATAAATGACTAGGTCCAATCCAGTCTAATAAATGTTTTGGGCCATTTTGGACTGGTCCAATTCAATGTCTAAGCCATCCAATCTGTTCAAATTTGTTTTGATTTAAATTGGTTTCAACCCAAACCTGGTCCATTGACACCTATATTCTTATCTTATATCAATGACCAAATATTGGCTTAATCCAACCCAATCCAATATAAAGTTATTACGGGTGGACCAGGTCCAATCCAATCTAATAAATATTTTGGACCGGGTTGGTCCAATCCAATATGTCTTATTGGTCCATCCAATCCGTCCAAAATTGATTTTGGACTGGATGGGGTCCAATCCAAAACCGGTCCATTGGCACCCTTACCCACCCATGAATTTTGATAAATAACACCTTATTTGCTATCACGTTTATGATTTCAATTTATTGGTTTGTTATTTTTCGGATATCATATCTTTTTCATATCATAGTTGAACCCAATTTTTAGATACAATTTTGTATTCTTTTGATAATCAACTTTTTAACCAAAGTTAAGGCATTGGAGTATAAGGCAATTGGAAACAAGATAAGTGCAAAAATGATTTAAAATCTGAACCGTATTTACATCCATGAAACGAAAAGAAGAGGGTAAATATGCAATATACATATTTACATTTGCATTGCAACCAAACGCAGCCTTAGTTTAATCACTTAATTGTTTTCAGATGGTTGCGAAAAATGTGCCTTACAATCAATAGGTTTTGAGTTCACTTTCGCTCATTCAACGATGGACGAAAGCATCCGTCCCAAGATTTTTATTGGGCCAGCTGGATCTATAAATCCACGTTAGAATTGCTTGTCCCAATGCGTTTAAATGAGAAACGATTGGTTACGGCGTTTGTCTAACGACGTCAGGTTAGATCTAATTTGAATAACTCCAACTATTTTCAACTTTTACAGCTTACATCTATTTGGCTTGGGTTTGAGTTTTTTTCCCAAAATAAAAAAGAGAAGAGGGAGGCCGAACTTACTCCTCCCCATCACCATTGCAGAGCGCATGAAAAGCACAACCATTTCCACAATACTCCAAGTAATTCTAGATAATCTCTGCTGATGCTGCGCACAATGCGATCAACACTATTGACCCAAGAATCAACTGGATTTGAAATACTCTTCAAAACTGAACCTCTTCAGTTTGATGGGTTTGTGATCGGTGATTGAAATATTTGAATTACCTTTTTGGAGAAATTGTCTTCCCGGTTATTCGTTTGTGATCGGTGATTGAAATTTTTTAGCCTCTATTAGTGCAATTTAATTGGTCTAAACATGCTTTAAATGACTTTTCTTTCTAGTGACTGTAATTTCAGATTTCTGAGGGGGAATACAGTCCATTTATCCCTTTTCTTTTTCTCTGGAATCCCTGATCGTGTGTGGAGGGTGTTTGTCAGGAACTGTTGCCAAACTGTTCGCTTTGCTACGGTCAAACTCTCTCTGATTTATGAAAAGAAGAAGAAGAAGAAGTTCCAATCTGAGCTATGTGAAATGAAATAAATAATATTCCAATCTGTGGTACATTACATATACAAAAATAATGAATCTCTCTGGATGTGAATATTAAGAGAAACGCACGATTGATTAAATAAAAAAAAAATCGAGGTAGAAGAGAAAAGAAAATTAATGTAAGGTATAGGTGATGACAAGGGCAAGAAGTAGAAGTATGCACGCAATCCCTTGATCAATTGCCTTGCCTGCACAGAAGATGAGACAATACGTGAGTGAATGAAAGCTGGGCTTACAACAACTACGCACATAAGAAGAATGAAAGCAAGCAATTGAGAGATTAATTACTAATAATGATGAAATATATTACCGCCGTTAGCCGGAAAACCCTCCGGCGCGGGTGAAGGAGCGATGCCCTGGCCTTGGCTTACACTCAAAAGTGCCATCAAGAAGAGACCGACGATCGGTAGAGCGTAGAATCTGATGGAATTCATTTTTGAATGGAATCACAGGAAAAGAAAAGAACAAGAAGTGGAGATATACGACAAAAACGAAGGAATTCAAATTAACAGAACAATGATGTCTCAAGAAGACTCAAAGAGACGAACTGGAGTGGGGAAGCTGTTTATCTCTCTCTTTATATGTATGTTTTAGAAGGCTATGCCTTCTGGGAAGGTGTTGCCGTGGCCGTGTGGGCATGGGGTTGAAGCAACGCGGTCAAGACTCGGGGTGCGTATGATAAACTTGAACAGTGTGGGCCGTGGGCGGCTTGTTGACTCGGCCAACGCTGACCGACTGTGAGTTTGGGTGGGTGGCTCTTGTCTCTTGTAATGCGAAGAATCGCGTTGGACAGTGTTGAGGAGAACTTTTGGAAGCTTGGGAGGAATGAGAAGACAGTTATTTTATTTATGATGAATAAAGTTGAATAATGAACAGATTAGGAGATACAAATCACATTTATCTAGATAAACCTTTTTGTAGAATGAAAATTTTCATTAAGACTAGGTTTGGTTTGAAGGAAAAGGTAGGGAATCCTTCAAACCAAACATAGGCTAAGAGAAACTTTAAAGAGGGTATATATCTTTAAAACAGAGGAACTCAAATGGGCCGAATCAAGTAGAGAAATGATTTGCCATCAACTGATTACAATTAAGGGAAAGGGCTGCACAAGCTAAATGATGAACTACCCTATTTGTCTTCCTACCACGATGGAGGACTTCGGATTGGGTAAAGCGCCCTGACCAAACATTTTTTATCAGACTGATTATTTGAATTGACGGTTAAAACAGCTTTTAGAGAATCAGATTCTATATAGCCCTTCTTTTAGAGCTTTCCAGCAGTCCAGCTGAATGGCTCTTCCTTTCCTGGTTCCTTATGACACAGGCGATGCCCGCACCCCTCCAGAGGATGCATCACAGTTCACCTTCATCCACTGGTTTGGAGGGGGTGCCATCTGTTGTTCCTTACAGTTTTTGGTTCCAAATGTTCTCAATCAATTAGTATTCATCAAAATACATATTTGATACATGGGACTGTGACAGTAGAAACCTTTAGGACTGTGGTAGGCTTATGTGTCAATCAAACTATCATTAAGAGCTTCCTCAACCATTTTAACTCCAAAAAAATATGGGATAAGTAAACTGCACTCCACCTCAAAATTCTGAATTAAAATACAAACCTACAACAGTTCAAAATTATAAATATCTCCACCTATAACACCCATACCCGCTCATGAATTAGCATCAAGTTCGAGCTGACACCTATCCAAACTGTATCGTGGAGTTAGGATTTATGAGGGTGAACTGAACAATAAAAACCCCAAAAAATAATTCAAAACGCAAGAGGATATAGGCCTTATCAACTTTGAGGTGGGAATCAGAGATTTGCTGGATTTGAGTTCTGAGGTTCTTCCCTATTGTTAGTAGTTGGAATCTGAATTGAAATGGTTTATCGTAATATAAGAATCAGGTTCCGATTTCATTCAACCAAACAGTTGAAAAGGAAATGGACTCCAAATCCAATTGACCCCTGATTTATGGGAAAATAATGGAGTACTGTATAGGTGGAAATACGGATGGATATAGAACAAATTGTGTTGCTTTTTGGTCATTGAAAATTCGTTGTAGCAAACCACTTTGTGCTGGTCCCTTCTATTTCTGACATTCTGACTGACCTTTAATCATTTTTGAACATGTTTGTTTCTAGATTTTATGCCTACGAATTCAACTCTTGACTGGTGGCCGAAACAGCAATTTGTAGCCATCTCTTACACAGGCCAAACAAATTGCATCTTAAAATATCATTCTCCACTTGGGGGTGTAGTATTTGGTCAATGCGGGAAAAACTTTGGCTGTTGGGAATGATCTTGGACAATCTCTGCTCGATAAACTATCATAGTAAGTGGCGGAGCCAAGAATTTTCTCTTGGGGGACCAAGTTAAACAAGAATATGATCCTTCAAGTTGGGGGCAGGCAATATACTTGGTTCCGCCCTTGATCATGGTGTTTGGTATCGATGTAGGGTATTTAGTTTTTCGGAGAAATGGTGTCAGCACAGCATTGTAGACGCGTTTAACAAAAAATGTTTAAAAATTTATTTGGTTGAGCTATTTATTCTCTCAAAATTTGTATGAACCGTTTATAAAAAAACACTAAATTTGACGTTTTTCGTTTTCAAGACCATTTTTTACTATTTGGTTTATATGGCATTTAGTGGTGCTGAGATGTAAAAAAATCGTATAAAACATTTAAAGCAGATTTTATCTCGTTTTAAATTATACAAAATGTTTATATAATAAACGCCATCAATACCAAACAACCCCTATAATATAATTAAATTAAAAAAAAGGCTGATGCGAGCTTGTATGGAGTCAATCTCAACTCAACAACTAACCCCATTCCATGGGTTGGCATGTTAAAGTATAGTGTGGTTGAATCTGTGTCACTGTCGACGTGAATGAATCCACTCTATTTTATCATGGATAAGAAACTATGATATTTTATAAATTTTATACTATATGTAGCTGGGCTTCTGAATCACACCCTTAAAAGCCAAAAACAAAACTATACTCTTAAAATCAAGGTTTTAAAATCTGATTTGGAAACAAGAAATGGAACCACTTTGGCCATTGGCTTCTGGATCAGTGGTTTGACTGTTCTATCGGGATGTATCGGCCCATGGGTCGAACATTCATTGACTTGACCGAGTTAACAATTTTTTCTTTTTTTGAAAAATTCCAGGCTAAGTGTAAAACAGAACCAGACAGTTAACCGGTTCCCAAATCAAATGATTCAACTGCATGGGTCAATTACGGTATTAAAACCACGCTTAAAAGAATGTCATTGATGTATTTTCCATGCTACCAAATGCTCCATAATCATTTAGTTCATCAATATTTGGGGATAAACTTGTTCATGGGCCAGGCAGGGCTTTGACTCTTTATAAACAAAAAATTATTAGGCCCTATCTTGACGCTTGACTTGTACAGATAATTTATAATATATTAATTATATATTATTAATCATATATTATATATTATAATATATAACATCTTTTTATGCTATTAATTTCGGATACATTTGATATCGATGGTGTTTATTTCATAAATGTTTTATACCATTTTGTCTTAAAAACTGAGACAAAATCTGCTTTAAATGTTTTTTTTACCCTTCAGCACCAATAGACACCATATAAGCCAAACATTAAAAAACACCATTGGAAATGAAAAACAAAGTATGTGTTTGGAATCGTGGGCATTTATCCACTAAATGTTTGTACTTGATTTATTTGTAAAATTGAGAAAAGCAATAATGAATCCACTTAGTGTAACACTTAGGCACCACTAAGCATCATTAGGCACCACATCAACAAAACAGTCAATAAACACCTATCTGTTGGGAGAAACGCTAAAACGAAACTTCCCCAACAGTAGGCATGCACATAAATCAAAGCTTGCTTTTGTAAATCTCTATGTGTATGGATCCCCATGCTACAAGGGAAAATCTTCCAATTTAATGAAACAAAACCGTAGAAATAACAGCATAATCATCATTCATGCATGATCTCTACCGGAAAATAAATTAAAAACAAGAGGGGAAAAAGATACACCAGCTTCATAATTCATATAAAGTAGCGCTTTTTGTTACTGAAAACACTGCAGTCAGTTATCAGAGTTATAAGTAAACAAGAGGAAAGCCAAAAATCAAGGGTGCTTTCGGTGGTGGATCCTCTGAAGCACTGAGAGTAGTGTAACTGGGTAACCCGTCTTCCCCTGTAAAGCTATAGCAAGCTGATTCATGTCCAAATTAAAAAATTTCCTTCTCTCGATCATGGACTCCTCCATAGTTTTGCTATCTTGTCTGCAAAAGTTGTCTTCATCAATTGAGAGATCTTGCAAAGTTGTCTTCTACCAACCATAATTGCATTTATCTCAATAAGGTAGGACAACATTTCTAACTTTTCCTGTTTGCTAATATCCTTTTTATCCGGCCACCGCTCAATTTACTAGTTTTTTTTTTTTTTATTTAAAGAAAGAAATTTATTAAATAGGCAAAGATAGATACAACACTAGGGCAGTGTTTGGAACCGATGCCATTTTCTTGAAAAATAGCACGCACCACATCAATGCCAAGTTTGAAATCTGTTTTTTCAGACTATGCTTGATGTTTAGTTATACTTTTTTTTTCCAAAAAAAATGTTTTCTTAGACCACACATTGGAAATTGAGAAAGGTGTGATACGAGAAAATACCCTTTTTTGGTGTTTTCTTATTTTTTACTGTTGCTAACAAGAGTATGTTGATGTGGTGTTGAAAAAGGCCTATGTGGCAGTCAGCAACCACCAACTGTACCAAAAAAAAAAAAGGTTTTCTGAGAAAAAAGTCAATGCAACACCGTTTTCTCAAAAAACAGTTCTTGTGCATCTGTCAATTTTTTAGGGTTATAATGGTGATAGTAAATAATATGTTTACAAAATTTTTAACATTTTTTATATTTTTGTCTAAAAAAAGTTTTATTTATCACACTTGTTTTTGCTTAATATGACGAATATATGATATTAGAGATATACCCAAATGTTTTCTACAATTTTTTTTTTTTATTTTGTATATTTTTGTGTATTTTATATTTTTATTACTTAATTATGACATGAAGGGTTTATGCATTTGAGGTTAAATTGTTGATTTACCAGTAAATAGGAAAACAATTCCTTTTTTGGGTCAATTTTAAATTTGTATTTTATTTCTATCATCAATAAAATCAACTAATCTTTGCCATACTTTTTTAATGTGATCAATTAATATAAGATTCAATGAAAGAATGTGAGTTAATACCCTAAATATAAGACTTTAAAGAGAGTGAATTGAATGATGAGAAATGTAGACAATGAGTTAGGGAGCAAATTCAAAAATAGTGGTATTTTAGTCAAGAATGGGGTTAATGGGAAGGATTTCAATGAAGAGAAAAGTGATTGCTCAATTTATGTTTATGTCCTCACAATGAGTGAGTGACCAAATTAAAAAATTGAGGTATTTTAATCAAACAAAAGTTTCACACTTTCATTTACACTTGTAAGTTAGTGTAAATTTTTAATTTTTTAATGATTAAATAACATAAAAAATGATCCCTATGATCT